AACCAAGACACGAGGAGGAATTATAAAGTGGTCTCTATATGTGCATTATGATGGGGTTTTGAACTCTAAATTAAAAATAAATTTTAAAAGAAACCCATCCCATACTCAACAACTCCATTACTTCCACTTATATAGAAAGCACAGAATTATTTTAGGGGAGGGTTTTTCTTAAGCTCAATGGTGGCTTTGGTGGTAATATAACTCAGCTTTTTGGTCACCAAAATAAGGGGTTCCCTCTTCATGTCTAAACCTAATAAATGAGGTGAGATCATCTCCATTAAAGAATTTATTAGGTACCCAGTTACTGAACCTCATCACACCAAGCAGGTGTATCTCTAGTAACATGTCTCTCACCTGCTCTCCTCAAATCTCAAGCAATTTTTTTAGCGTGGTTTTCTTTCCATGCTGCTGATAAAAGCATATTGTCAGAAACAACCGAAATCCCCACTAACGTAAAGGCTCTGACCTCATCCTATGGACCCCCTCAGCACAAAATGACCCCAACAAGAGGCCAGGTGCGTCCACCTGCAGGCCTGGTAGGGCCTGGAAAGGGAAAAACCATCCTGGTGAGAGTGAGCTCCAGGTGGTCCCCGTGCCCCATCTGGCACTCACCATGGTGAGTGTCCACCAGAGCTCCCCCATGGCCGACCAGGAAGGTGGGTGGTGCTCCTTAGCTATTCACATCACAGTAGACACTGATACTCAAAGTGGGGGGTGGGGGATGGGGGAGAAGCACAAACCAGGGGCTTCCTCCCTCCCTGGGTTATTCCCACCTCAGTGCTTCAGCTCTCTAACACAGTGGTTCTCAACCTTCCTAATGCCGCGACTCTTTCATGCAGTTCCTCATGTTGTGGTAACCCCCAACCATAAAATTATTTTCCTTGCTACTTCATAACTGTAATTTTGCTACTGTGATGAATCGTAATGTAAATATCTGATATGCAGGATGTATTTTCATTGTTACAAACTGAACATAATGAAAGCATAGTGATCAATCACAAAAACAACATGTAATTATATATGTGTTTTCCGATGGTCTTAGGCGACCCCTGTGAAAGGGTCGTTCGACCCCCAAAGGGGTCTCGACCCACGGGTTGAGAACCGCTGCTCTAACAGCTCACTCAGGAGGGCCCAAGGCTACCACTATGTGAGACACAGGGGAAGGTAAAGAAGGGGCGAGAAAAGCCTGGTGTGAAATACACCTCTCGGCCACGTCTCTATAACTCCCCAGCCCGCAGGACAGATCCTGGACAAGAGGGCTCTGTGGCAAGAAGGGCCTTTCCCCTCCCCCTAACTTAGAGCATGAGCCCACCCCTGGGCTGGTCCATAGACAGAGGACTCCAGAGACTATTCTTCCTCCCAGGTAGGGCTGCCCTTCCTTCCTGTCCTCCTCGGGGAGCTCTGCTCTGAAGCAATGTCAGAGTTTAAAGGAGATGAACTATCTTGGCAGGATGGTCACAGGCAGCAAAGGACTCGCTTTCTGCACTCCCGTCTATACATCAAAAGTGGCAAAAACAGCCACGGAGGCCCTCCGGTAGGTGAGGAAGGGTAATACACGCGGCTGGCCATTGTCGGGGAGTTCCTGTTCAGGAGAAACACTCCAGAATTGTGAGTACAAGTCCTGTTGCTTCTATAGCAGTTCAACCAACTAAACATGGACAAGAATGAAGTCTTTCTCTGTGTGTTTCTGTCTCACTGAGAAAATTAATTTTTCCTTTGGCAGATGGGTGAGTCACAAAGACAGAAGGATTCATAAAATTCACATGAACATCCTGTAAACATTTAAACACACTCTGATTAAATAAGGCAACCATGACCTTGATTAAAGTAAAACTTTTTTTTAAATGTCTACACCCCTAAGCCCTGCAATCTGGAGGCTCATCTTCCCACCTCTTTGGACATGCTCAGTTCTCACTGGAATGGTGTGGGCACGTGCAAGCACGCACTGCTCAACTCGTTTGCTTTAAAAATGGGAAATAAGAGGCATCAGAAGAAAGCAACGATTTGGAACACCTGAACACAAAACTCTTACCAGTTCTCCATTAAAGTGGAGGGACTCTACAACAGAGAACATCAACATAAATTCAATGGGCAGAAGTGACAGAAAACCCATCCATCGGACCTACTCTTTTTCAGCCCCTCCCCACTTCACAACTAAATGTTAGAAAACATCCCCGCCAGAGACCTCAGGCCCTAGCAAGACTGGAAGCTTTTGTCATGGTTGGAAATTCTGACCTACAGAGGCTGCATGATTTATTCGGGCTCACAAATAGATGGACAGGACTTGAGCCATGGCCTGCTGCCTGGAGCTCCATCCCAACATCACAGCCCCCCCTCCCCCCGCCCCCAACCATAATCAGTTTGTGAGATTAACACTGCCCTCCCACAGTGGCATTTTATGGCCCAAATCTGCTGCCACTGGGCTCAGCAGCATAATCACAGCACCACCAGTTTAGAGCCAGGCTACTCCAGGGCGGAGCACTGTAGAACTCTGAGCCAGAGAGGTGATATGTAGCTTTAAACATCTGAAGGTGGAGAAATACACGTGTCAGCTCCGCTGCAAGCTAGAAGCTTTGAAGATATTCCCAGTAGTGTTTGTTACCTGGTGTAAATTTGCCCTTTTCTTACAACGCTTTTTATTGCTCTTGGCTAAGAATACTGGACAGAGACAGGAGACCTGACTGGTAGGCAGGCAGGCTGCTTTGCAGGAGAACTTGAGCTTGATGTGCATGAAGCTGACAATTCCTTGAAGGCCCTGTGAACCATCCATCCAGTAGACGCTGCCACTACCTGGAGTGAAAACAGCCCCAAACCCAAAAGCACATAGCGAGGCTCTCTGCACCTGTCCTGAAGCCATGGCTGGCATTGTCACTACACAATGAGTCTCTTTTTGAAGTTGTTTTCCTGATGTTTAGCGGTTTGAATACTAATCCCCTTAACAAAACTGTCCCCACCTCCCCCCTCCTTTCCTGCTCCCCTTAATCTCCTTCTCTCCAGGGAGGGGGGTGGGTGCTGGACACCAGTCAGTGTTGTCTGCAGCACCTGGATTTGCATTGATTCCCTCTCTTGTCATTCATGTTACCAACAGGAATTAGCATAAGGTATTAAGGGGAAACTCAGGAGGAGAAAAGAAAGACCATTTTGATGGAAATAAGGGGCAAAGGAATAATCTGCCATCAACTAAAATGCTTATTTGTGTATGGTTTCCCAAGCAAAGCTTAGAAAAAGCCTGTGTTGATTTTAGTGTACACAAAGAAACCTTAATCCTTTCAAGGCAACTAAATCACCCTAGAAAAAGCAGCTCCGAAGAAAGGCACCCTGTCAGGGGGCGACTATTCACAACCAAATAGATGCCACAAATCACACTCTGTAAGTAAACACAAGTAAGAATGTGGGAAACGTTTGATTGGAAAAGGGAAAGGGGGAGGGGGCAGGAGCAGGAGGGAGGGGGCAGAGGGGTTCCTCATCAATCACTCTCCATTTGCCCTGACGAGAGCCTTTCAGCCTGGTGAGGGCAGCTCGGCCTGAATGCAGGTCTCAGAGCCAACTCTCACTCTAGGGCTCATCCCAAAGAGGGAAACACATTCCAAAGCTTTATGTAAACTGGCCCAAGTAAGACACAGTCACATGGCGCTGGAGGTCCTGGGAGGGGCCAGGCCAGGTAGTCACTGAAAGACAGAAGGCCTCCTTTGGGTGACCTGGCCTACCTCAGTCTCCTCCTCCTCCTCCTCCTCCTCCCACCCCACCTACTTTCACACAGATACACACCACTGTCTACTGATCCTCTCCCTCATCAAAATGAGCTATAAACAATTATGCATTTTTACATATGAGCACTGCATGCCGTGAACGGCACCTATCTTTTTATTGGGCTTTTAGCATTATGGTTAACAAATTTACACAAACTTTCAGTCCATCAAAAAAATATGATGAAATATAAAACTGGAACACTCCATTATGCAATAAAAAAAGATAAAATTCAATATGACAATAATTCTGGGAGTAATAGCAATCACATAGGCATATACATCTCAAGGGAACTCTAAACATAATGTACTATTTAAAATTGCAGTTGGTTCCAATTCTAAAATAATCTGTGAGCTCAAAATAACTGAACTTGAAAACGTGTCTTACCAGCTAGCAAAAAATGCTAGCCCAGGCAAGGACAGCATGCTGAAGTGGTTTCAAATTTCACTTGATGAAGGCCCAACTCTGCACAGGCGCTGCCTACTCTCAGGTAACACAGAAGGGATTCCCACAGAAAGCACGCCAACGCTTAGCAATTATCACGCAAGCATCTGTATCTGGTTCTATTATAAATCTAATTGATCCCTTTCAAATCATACACCTTTGCAAGGCCTGTGAGTAGACGCTCCTTTAAATTTCATTATTTCCAGCAACACTGCTGCAATAAAAACTGCTCAGAAACCTATTCGCAATAGATACGTTTTCCCTTAATGTACAGCTACATTGTTAGCCTCTCTAACTCTATATTAGGGTTTGGAAGAAATTAAAGGGATAGCACATATTTAAAATTTGCCCTCTTGCTCATTTATTAACTTTACAGAAGGCCCACAGCAGAGTAAGGCTTGGTTTATGACCGTAATGCTGCAAATATAAACATCCACTGGTTATTAGAGTCTGCAGTACAAATCGGCTATTTATCGTTCTCCGACTGCTGGGCAGTTGATAAGTAACAATAAAGTTAAGGCGTTTTGAGAACTATTGTTCTCTATTACCGCATCCTGCATTACATTAAAGTCACACAGTAGTGATTTCTTACTCAAATCAATTGAAATAAGGATTCAAGATATTCTTTAAAATAAACTGTTTGCAATGTACCACAAAAGAACACAGAGTCCATCTCAAGCTAAACCACAAAATATGAACAGTAGTTCCAGAATGAAAAAAAAGACCGTCGTTTTTTATTCTTTCTTCCTAGGCAATGACAAGACCACAAATATGAAAATACATAAATCACAGCTCAGAATTAATCTTACCTTTGTTTACAATAACGGTATTGAAGAGTTTTTCAGAGCTGGCATCTGATGCCTGGAAAACAGGAAGGGAGAAAAAAGTGTTACTATTGTCATTAATACAGTCACCATCGTCCTTACTGTTTTTCTAAATCAATTTACTGCGTTTAAAAAAAGCTAAGTCGGAAAGCAGCAATTTCCCCAACCCTCCACTAGGTGGTGCTAGTTGACTGCCTGAGAGAGACCTGCAGTGCAGTTATTTGCTGGAGGGGAAATCTGATTTCAAAAATGTGTCCTTATTAGACATATTATCTGTGCAAAACATATTTCTATGAGATGATACACAAAGCAATTCAGCTCACTCACATAATGATTTTGCAATTTCGTTGACAGATCATTATTTCGGAAATGGTACTTTTTTCATATTTGCACACATGTCTATTTTTCAATTTCCTTTCACAAACCAGAAATGCCCATTATTTAACGCTAAGCCTTTCCTCACTAAAAAGTGTCAATTAGCGTTTCCAGAAATTAATTTTTAAATATTCATCTGATGACTCCAAGACCCCTGTCCCTTATGGTAACCACGATGACCTTGGTGTTAAAACCAAAGCAAGCTGACCTGCCCCCAAACCCCACACTGTACATGCCATCAGCATAATTTCCCTTGCATTTTCTAGAAACCATGTCTGCTCATTATTACACTGGCTTGAGGAAAATGAAATAAGCCTGTTTAAACAGCAAGAGCAAAGGCAATTTAAATTATACACTAATGTTCTGGGACATAAACATGAAATCAGTCTGGAGAAAAATACTATAATGTTTTGGAAGCACTAAATATTTCTAGAACTTGACAAATTAAAAATTTAAAAATTAAGCACCCTCATTATATAATGTGAAGATGCATCTGCATTTAAAGTTACACTGGCTATGTTACATTTATGCTGTTTTGGCTACTCAATCCTTGTAAGAAATCACTTATTTTTCACAGTTTATAGAGATGCCTGTTTGACAAAGCAAAGCGTAGAATGCTGAATAAATAAGAAAGAAATATAGAGAATAGAAGGAGGGGTAATCTGAAGTACAGCATATTCTGGCTTTTAGAGACAAAGAAAATATTCAATTTAATTTTTCCAGGTAATGTTGAAGATGAGAGATTTTGTGTACATCTGGGGACCATGTTCTGGTTCTTAAAGCAAGTGATACATAAAGCAAGTGGAAGACATATAATATTTTTCTTTTGACTACTTTTCCCTTTATTTCATTCTAATCTCCCAACTGTAGGGGTGGTTCAGAAGATTAACAGAAAAAGAGGGGAAAAAAAGGTTCTATGTGCAAAACAAGTGAAATGCATACATACATAAACAGTTTAATAAATCCTAGATAGACGTTTCCTCTTATTTTGTAGGAGTGATAAAAAATAATCCAAAGGCCTTCCTGAAATCTTAAACAAAATTGTGTATTATACTATCTTTTAATAAAAATAAACTGCCAAAAAAACTGTTGCATGGAGGGGGGAGATAAGATATGCATTAAACAGATCAAGAAGACTGGATTCTAAAAGCAAAAAATGATGGGAACAGTCTTGTTAAACTGTAACATTAAGTGAGATTTCTAGGAATATGAATTTCCCAGATAAAAACTTAGAGATACGAGTATTTCACCATTCGTCAATAATAAAGTATCTCTTGATTCTAATTGGAATGGCTAGGTTACATTCATGGCTTAAAAAATAAATTCCAGCTGGCAGTTTTAAAAGAAAAAAGTCTGTTAATTAAATCCTTTTACCAGATTGAAATAACCCTTGCAGATTTAGGAATTACTTATTACAATGAGCCTAACTGGCTCAAAGAAATATAAAAACAAATTGCTGCATCCCAAATATAAAAAGCATTAGTAAGGAAAGCAAACGGTTCCTGATTGAGTTTTTATTTGCATTTGGGCGTGCGCACAAGATAGAGAGGGAGCAGGACAGAGGCTGGAGGTGAAGGTGAACAGGCCCTCTGGCTGCCACCTTTGTCGGCTCCACTGGGCTCCATGCTGTATTCTCAAATAGGTGGTTCAGGGAACCTATGTCTGAAGCAAACTTCGGTGTGATTAATTATGATGCTAACTGCTAAGTTATGATGGAAATAAGTCTGACAGGATATTCAGAGAGGCTGAGTACACACCTTCTAATACACGCTTTTTGAACCCTTTAATTTTCTGATACACGTTCCAAAGCCTGAAATGATGCCTCTTGCAACCGGGGGAGGGGGCGTCTCCACAAGGCCTCCAAAAGAAAATGATCGCAATGGGGCTTTGGCTGACCATGAAATGATTCTGGATCCCTTCTCTCCCCCATTCAGCTGGGTAAAGCCGTGGCAGACCACTGCCCTGAAAGTCAGAAAGAGCTTCTTAGCCAAAGCCTTAAGTGGAAACTACAAGAAAATCCTTCGCTTTTCCTCCACAAACTTTCCAAATTCTACTTATGCTTTTAAAGCATTTGTTCAAATTATTGGGCTCCTTGGGTTTTCATCTTTGGGAGTTTCGTTGTCACTGTTTTTAGAAAAAACCTTCAATACCTTATATTATCTGGCCCATTTTCTTGGCTGATTTTTTTTTTTTTTTTAATCAGAAACGACAAATGGCAACGTGGTGAGCTGGGAGTTAGCAGAGGAGCGGAGCCTTTTCTTCTCTCCTTAACGCGGGGGAACCTTTACAAGCTAAAGACCTTTATTTAGATTTTGCTCGCCATTTCATTCATCTCCCTCGCTTGGGTTTGGAGGTTGAGGACTTGAAGTGGCTACATCTAAAAAATTATATCGCCCCCCCCAAAAAAGCTTTTTAGTTGCTTTTTATTTAGGGGGAGGCGCAGATTTGTTTTTAATACTTAAAAATCACTAAACATCGCAGTTGTTTAAAGAAAAGTTAAATAGGTCCAACAGATGGGAGGAAGGAACACCGATAATGAGGGCAAGGAATAAAAGCCTCCAATGCCAGAGACCGGGCGCAGCCGCCTGGCTTCGGGGGTCCACCTTCATTTCCTTCGGCCGAGGACCGGGGAGACAGCCCTCCGCACCGGCAGGAAGAGGGACTTTGCAACCAGAGGAACCTCCGCGAAACTTAAGCGCGAGTTCTCTCCCCACCGCCGCCGCCGATCCGCGCCCCGGTCTCCTTTCGCT